AGCCGGGCCACTGCGCGGCTTGTCGACCGGCCTACGCCTACCACCGCTCCACGCTTTCTTCACCGGGCGCTCTTGGTTCTGGGCCCTTGGCAGCCCACGGGGTCTATGCACACAGTCTCGTTATTCACGCGGGCATTTAATGACCGCTTTTTATGTGCTTGCCAGTGAGAGATTTCTCCAGACAACATTTTGGAATTCCTCCTGAGCATCTTTCTAGGTTTTAGGGGGCAAATATAAAGGGCCCGATAAATCATTTAGGTGGAATCACAGATTCCTAGCGAGAGATGTTCAGGGTGACTTTTGGCAGATGCTATTATCTGAGGTAGATCTCACAGCTCCCTTGTTCATCTTGAGGGAACCTCTAGTAGCCAGTGACTGTCTAGGTAGCGACACGCCAGCTTAAAACACTTAAATTAGCTAAATGTGAGAATGCTAATAAACGATATATTGGGTACCTTGGGTTAAATTTAGTGTTGATATTAATTTCATCTTTTACCTTTTTAAATATGTCTACTAGTATTTTTTTTTTTTAAATTATATATGTGGCCTGCATTATATTCCACTGGACAGAGCTACCTCCAAGCATTAAGATGGATGTGACTGGGAAAGCTTAGAAAGAACTACAAAGTAAACACGTTGCCATTTAGACCCTGTTTCTGATCTTCAAACCACGCTCATTGGTTCATCAACAATTTCATAAAGTTTTATAGACAAAAAAAAAAAAAAAGTGACTCAGTTAGGGTCACAGATGACATTTAATATGTATTTCGGTATTGCTTTATGCCAGGTACTGCAAATGCTGGGAGTCAAAAATCACCAAGTAGGGACTCTCCCTAGTGGTGTAACAGGTTAAAGCACCTTATTATGAAGCTCTTGGAAGACACTGCAGCAATCCCTGCCCAGGGAGCTGACCCACATTCCTGACCCATCTGCTGCCCCCCCTCAGCTGTGTATTTCAGTTGATCTGCTTGTTCTGCTCCCCAGTCTGTCCCTGGTGAAGCTTCTTACTCACCATATCTCTGGCTGTACCTCAGTTCTGTAAACATAAATAAATAAATCTTAAAAAAAAATTCACCATGGAGTTGTCTGTGAATTCAAGAACTCTGTCTGTGGAAACAGGTCAGCAAATATTTGCAATGAAGTGTCATATATGCTTAAAAGGAGCAAAGTGTTAACTGTAAAATCAAGTCTCAAGGATAGTTACACAAAGAGTTTATTTTATAGTCAAAGTGAGTATTTAGTCCAGGAAGGAGTCCAACAGATTTTACTCTGTGACAGTTTTGCCATTGAACATAAGTATGATTTTTATTTTATGTAGGTAAAAATAGTGGATCATTGACATTAAGAATGTATGATGGAAAGGTTTCTAAATTTTCCTAATCTGAAGAGATTGCTGATTCTAGCCGCAGGCAATACAAGAACTACAATGCAGGCAATACAAGAAATCTTTCTGGAGAATGTGCTGCAGAGATGCAGAGTGGGTGACGAATTTTTAAATCTTATCTGCAAAGACGGTCTTGTACCTTCAGGCAGCAGATTACTTTATACACTATGGAACCTGTGGAGATGATTTTGTTCTTTGCTAACAAGACCAAACCCAGGGTTCTCAGAAAGTTTTAAGGAGAGAGAACAGATAAGAATTTTTTATATATATTTGATTTTTGATTGTTTGACAATGATGTACCTGGGTGTAAGTCTTTTTTCATCTAAAAAGTTGGATGCTCTCTGCTTCCTGAATATCCATATTGAATTTATTCTTTAGATTTGGGAAAGTCTCAGCTATTATTTCTTTGGATAAACTTCTGTTCCCGTTTCTTTCTCTTCACCTTCTGGGATCCTGATTATTCTTAGGTTTCCTTTCCAATTGAGTCTAATATTTCTTGTAGAATTTCCTCAATTTTTCTTTGTCTTGACCCTATTTTTGATTTTATTTTAAAATGATTTTTGTCTTTTTTAAGCTTTATCTATTTATGAATACAGAAGTGCAAGGGTGGTAAGAGGATTCACCTGAGACAGAATGGGAAACAGAATAGGCAGATGGATGAAGTACACTGCTGAGGGGAGCAGTGGGCGAGACAGGAGAGGTCTACTGCACTATGTGGATCACCTCCAGGGCCGGGGATTGAACTTGCACTAACGTGGCTGCGGTGAGTTTGCAGTGCTGCATCCTAAATGGTTGTGCCATCAGGGCCAGACTATTTTTCAAATGGTTGATTTGCTCATTTGAATTTTCTACATCTAAAATTCTTCTGCCAGTTCAATTCTATTTAAAGTATTTTCTTTTTTTTTAAGATTTATTTATTTATGCATACAGAACTAGAGTTACAGGTGCAGGGGCAGTGAGAAGATTCACCAGAGACAGAGTGGGGAGTAGAACAGGCAGATAGGTGAAGTACACTGCTGAGGGGAGCATTGGGCCAGACAGGAGAGGTCTATCATGCCATGTGGGTCACCTTCCAGGCAGGGGATCTGTATCAAACTAGCACTGAAGTGGCTGAGGCTGAGGCTAGGTTGCAGTGCTGAGCTTTAACCCGCTGAGCCACCCGGGAGGGCCTAAAGTATTTTCTAAACTGTCTGCTTATTGCTGAGTCTCTTTTGTGATCTTTTATATATTCATTTTTGTATGTGTATGATGAACTCTCTGTTCCTGGATCTCCTTCTTAAGATCTTGTACCTGCCTTTAACTTTCCAAAAACTTATTCACTATTTTTAATATTTTGATTTTGCAACCTATGTTTTGGGCCTCCCTTGTGGCCTACGGGTTAAGTTTCAGCATTGTCACCAACTGCCAGAGTTTGACCCCTGGCAAGGGAGATGACCCACATGATGCAGCAGCCCACTTCTGTCTTGCCCACTGCTCCTCTTAGCAGTGTATTTCAGTAGATCTTGTTCTGCTTCCCACTCTGTCTCTGGCTAATCTACTTACCATACTCGCTATCTCCAGCCTACACTCCAGTTCTTCTAAAAAAAAAGTAAAAGAAATCTGTGTCTTATATGTTCCCTATTTCTGTGTCCTTTATATTTGTCCTAAGACTTCTGTTATCATTTTGCTTTTCCATCTTGTATTCAGATGTTCCCTGCTTCCTAGGCATGCTGGTTGCCTTATTTGCTCTGTAAATGTGTGTGATTTGGATACTGAGTTGGAATCTGGCCTATAGTCTGGCTGCTGAGTGCCTACAGTGACAGGAAATCACTATCTTAGACATGTGGCTCATTTGTTTGGGAGAGGAGCATTGCATCTGTGGCAGAATGATTCCCTTTTATTTTTAATAATATAATAGTGTATTTCTGTGACATTTTCCATCTTAATTGTAATCCCCATGAGCTTCCTACCATCAACTTACCCAATGTACTACCCTCCCCTCCCCCATTCCTCACTCCAGCTCCATAAAATGTCTCTGGTATTATTATTATTTTTTCCCCTGGTCCTTTATACTCTTGCTATGAGTGAAACCATCCAAAATTTTTCCTTTTTTTTCTGGCTTATTTCACTCAGCATAATCCTTCCAGCTCCATCCACGTTGCTGTGAGAAGCGTAAGTTTATCTTTTTTGATTGCTGAGTAATATTCCATCATGAATATGTAACACATCTTTTTTTTTTTTAAATGTATTTATTTATTCATATAGAACTGGGGTACAGGCCAGAGATGCAGAGGGTGAGAGGATTCACCAGAGACAGAGCACGGAGCAGAACAGGCTGACTGACAAAGTACACTGCTGAGGTGAGCAGTGGGCGGGTCAGGAGAGGTCTGCCTCGCCATGTGGATCTCCTCCGGGGCAGGCAGGGATCGAACTCATGAGGAAGTGCCTTAAGCTTCTCAGTGCTGTGCTTTAACCCGCTGCGCCACCAGGGAGGGCCCAGGTGCTGTATCTTTAAAGAAGTTACTGAGGTGTATGTCGTGTAGTGTTTTGCCCAACTTTGCATCAAGGTATTTTATGGCCTCTGTTCTTATGTTGTCTTTAATCCACTACAAATTGGTTTTTGTGCATGGTGTGAGGTAGTGATCTAGTTTCATTTTTTTGCATGTGGGGAGGATGCCATTTTGATGGCCTTTGTGAATGACTGGGTAATATGGAACATGGATTTGTGTGAGTAAAGGGCCATTATTGGCCTCAGTAACTCTTTGTTTTTTTTCCTGATTTGTTAAATAACTCCCTTTGTTGTTGTTCCCTGAGCTTGAGTATTATTACAATTGTGTGAGTAACTGAAAAAACTCAGGCAGTGACCAATAAACTATTTGGGGAGTTTCCTTGCGAGTCTGGGTCTTTAATACTCTTTCTCAGTTTTTAGGTGTGAACTGGCCACCTCTATCTCATCTTTCATTTTATAGCAAGTGTTTTCTGTGCTTATGTTGTTTTAACATTACATCCTACACCCCTGCTGCTTCTTTCTGACAAGGGTCATGATCTTTGAAGCCTGATTCTCCTGGTGGGAAGAACTAGATATGGAATGCTGGTTCATGCTCCTCTGAATAGGAGGTTGTGCTACAATTGAGGGTGATGTGTGGATGTGTGTTGCCCTATCACTATGGCTACCAGCAATGGCTATTGATGTTCTGCCCCTACCTCTGCTGCCACTTCTACATTACTGTAATATCTGCCCACAATTTCTCTACTTTTCCAGGTGATTCATTAGTCATCTTATAAGTCCTTCTCTTTGCTGTTGGACTCATTTGGGTGTCTATTGATCTCTTCTGAGGAGGGTAGTGCTCACACCAATCACTAATTTCCCACTTTCTTGGGGCTGCCCCACAGATTTCTCATTGTTCCAAGTTGCTTATATGTCATAAGAGTTCCTCCAGG